TATAACCCCTCTCTGTAAACTCCAAGCCCCCATGAAACCCCCTTAAATATTATGGCTTGATTTCTGCGTTCACTGAGAGAAATTCAGAATGGGACAGCAGAAAACAACAGTAGCTGGAAGGAAGCAGGTCCAGGGACTACAGGGCAGCCTCCAGCTGCAGCCAGAGGTTAGGCTGCAAGCAGCCATGAAAATGGCATCATGGTGAATGAAATGATTCCACAGGAATCCCAGAAATGCTGGTGAGCAGGAAGCTGGTGGAGGAACTGACCTCCCTGGGGCCAAGTGGGTAGGAACCTGAGGCGCCATCATTTTGATGTAGTAGATGTAATGTTATCATGTTATTTAAAACTAGTGAAGTCTGAAAATTTGGGCTAGCTAATGTAAGGAACTGAGACTTGGTTACTGTGGTTATTCTTGCTCACTATCTTATCTAAGGAATGGGAACAAGGATGCACACTGCTTGAAAACTGGGAGTAAACCCTGATGGCGAGGAACATTCTGCATTCCTTCTCTAAAATTAGAGGCACAATGTAACACTCTCCTTCTAATTAGCTACAAAACACTGACATCAGTGTTCATGCTCTGAATCTCAATACAGGTCGCTGCATTTGTGCATTCGCACTGTCTTCTTGATTACCAAATACCTTCGCAAATAGGACAGCAGATGTTCCCTCTCACAAGTTCAACAAGGCATCTGGTCAAATCATTTGTCTCCTCTAATGCATTCAATAGCTAAGCCCCAATATTTGTCCTGACATCTGGGAGCTGGCTTTTTGCCCATCCAACAAAATTGAGTAACATTGAGTAATTTCTTGGACTAAGTTGGTATTCAAGGGGTGAAGGGAAAAGAGCTGAAAATTATCTCAATTCTTCCTAACGAGATAAATATTCAATATTAATTTTGCCCATAATCGAAGTACGAGTGATTTTTTCCCTCTGGGTGACAGGAGTGATTAATTTTTATTTACCCATTTTTATTTGCTAATTTAAAAAACATATTACTCCTAGAACAAGAATTGAAAATTTTTCGATGATCCATTTAGAAAACTCTGGTCTAACCCAACTTTCTCAGTCCTTCATTCCATCTGAACATTGTTGAAAGAGGTGGATGGACAGTATGGCGGCTTCTCCCAAGATGGTTCTCTTCCTCCCTACACATGCAAACCGTTCTCCATTGAGAAGCAGCCCCTGTTTCTCCACCTCGTTGAATTAAAGCTGGCTTGTGATTTGCTCCTGACAAACAGAATATGGTGGGAGTTACACTGTTTAATGTTACATCCCGTCCTCGCGAGCAAGAAGGGTTGGAGACTGCTGGGCAGTCAGAGGTGTTTTATTGGCCAAAGTTTCAAAGTTTTACCTGCGCAGGGGCGAACTCTCGGGGTGCCTCCGGAGACACACGAGTGCCAAAATGGATGCAAATGAGAGTCGCACCTAACGCTTACAGGCTAGGGTTCTTATAGAGGCGAGCAAGCAAGCAACTTCCAGAAGCAGAAGGTGGCAGTTAGCTATTGGCTCAGGGGCTATACTAAGGTGCGTGATCTGACCAAGGACTGGTTACTAGAGCTCGTGGACAGCTCGTGATAGTATGGCTGATTGGCTCTTAAACCTCATGCTGTGGCTGTGGTCTTTTTACCACCCCCCCCCACTTGGCGTTCCAGGAGCTGACTTAACACAATCAGTTCTGTACCTCCTTTAAGTGCACCCTGTCCTTATGGTCGAGCCAGCAGCTAAAATTGAGAACAATCACTTCCTCATTTCCCTGGCTCCTTCATTTAACATCCAAATGAAAAGACTTGCAGCTTCTGCTGGGTCTCCTTGAACACTCCCTCTCGGGAATCAGTCGCCATGCCAGCAGTCTGTCTTGATACCAGCGTGCAGTAGTGAAGGCCAGTCTAGCCATGTGGAGGGGCTGCTTGAAGGTAGGTGCTCAAGCAGCGTCCAGCTTTTCCAGTCTAGCTCCTAAACACAGGAAGGAAGAAGCCTTCAAACGACACTGCCGTCCGACTGCAACCAAATGAAGGATCCCAAACAAGAAGCACTCAGCTGAGTCTGTCAACCACCGGAAGCAATAAATAATGCCTGGTTGTTTTACTCCACTAGGTTTGGGGGGGTGGTTTGTTTTGCGGCAATAGCAAACTGGAACAGTGTCACTAAGAAACAAACTTAAGGGCTTGTAGTTTGTAGTTGTAGTTAAAATTCTGAGTCTTCTGTTAGTTTTTATGCTAGATGAGGATGGCTCGAAGAAATGCCAAGATTTATGTTTTGGAATAGCATTTTACTGGAGAGCACTAAACTCACTGATTTTATGCTCGAAGTAAATTCAGATTTGGGCAAGTGTGTGTGTGTGTATAATAAATTGAAGAAACTGGGACAGGTCTCCTGTTCATGAGCTGCTGTTGGTGCGATGTCATTTGAAGGAATATAAAAAGCTACCCTAAAGTTTCTCCTTCCACAAGCCTGAAATCCTCCCTCCTCCATTAATCCACTTTCATTTCCTCTTATTTAGGAAGAATAGGGCCTAATTTCCTGGGGACCCCACAACGCCTGGGTTAGTCGGTCAGTGAGATCAGCTGAGCTCTGAAGGGGAGTCCTAAAAGGGTGCATTGGGAGCTGCTGCATTTTCAGGGAAGTTTAAATGGTCTGAAAACACATTAGAAGTCAGTGCAAAGCGGTCTGGGTGAGCTTCAGGCATTGGGTTGAGGCTGAGGGTTAGGAAAATGCTGAAACAAACCTTTCTCACTTCCAAATTTCATGAAGAGCTAGTCTTGCCTTAAAGTATTGTCATTTTTGGGGTGGGGAGGGGGTCACTTTTTATATTCTAGGCATGGTGGTCAGCACTTTACATGGATTATAATCTCCTTAAACCCTACCATGGCCCTATAAATAGGACAATTTTGAGAGTGAAGGGTACATGGTTAGTAATTATAGTTAAATCATTCTAATCATTATAAAAATACCCTGCAGTCTGGGACTGACCCAGGCCTATCTGGACATCCAGTTACCCTACTTATGAGACAAGCACAGTTATTACCCTGATTATACAGATGAGGAAACTGAGGCTTTGGTAGGTTAAGATGCTTGCCCAAGGTCACACAACTAGGAACAGGATTTGAATCCAAATAGTCTGGCTCCTGAGTCTATAGTCTTTGCCACCACAGCTAAGACACTTTATAGACATAACTATTCTCTAATGCAGCAGTCAGAAACTGGCAGTCCATAGGCGAACTGGCTCACAGATCTGTTTTGTTTGGCATTCATCTATTTTTTAAAGATAGAAATTGAATGAATGGCTTTGGGTGAGACCTGCCTGTACCAGTGCACCTTATAGTTCCCCTGCCTAATACTTGTTCCGTTGGACTCTTTTACAAGTGCAATCTCTGGCCAGGTCCTGACGTAATGCATTTCCCAGCATTCTCTATGTTCCACTGCCCCTCCTACTGCTTTCTGCCATGGTCCAACTCTCTCTCGTCCACTCACCTTGTTAGTTTCTCTTGTGCAGTGTCATCGATCCCTTATCTTTCTTTTATTTACTCCTTTTTCACCTTTGTAGAACAGCCTACACATGGCTGCACTTTCCAATTCTGTCCCAGTGAACCCACATAATATAAAAATGTCTGCAAATGTTAGCTGGGCATGACCTCCATTTCACATGATCACTCCAACCAATGCACATGCAAGTAAGAGATAGTAGCAAGTATTTACAACAGGGGTGTCAAACTCATTTTCACCAGGGGCCATATCAGCCTCACAGTTGCCTTCAAAGGGCCGAATGTAATTTCAACTCCTTAACAGTTAAGGAGCAGTTACACTTATACAGTCCTAAAATTATTCCAGCCCTTTGAAGACAACGGAAAGGCTGATGTGGCCCCTGTACATCCCTGATTTAAAATAACTGTTAAGATTTGCTGAGTGTATCCTTAATATTTTAAAAGTAAGATTAGGAATCCTTAAGCAGTATCACATATTTTTAAGTGTTTATAGAAATTACATGGGTTTTTAAAGATTTACTCTTTAAGAAATATTATTCATTTGGGGACATTCAATTTCTACAACTAATTAAAGGTTTAGAAATTTTGGACAGGCAAAAATGGCTAAATAATGTACAAGAATTCTTTAAAACCAAGAAGAAATTCGAATGTAATATTAGAGGAGAGAGCCTTAGATTTCAAGATCAAACTTTTATTTTTCAATTACAAAAACAGATAGAGAACACCTTGATGAAAGAGAAGAGTGACTGGACATGAGCAGAGGAGAGAGATGCATTGAACAGATGTACCAAATGCAAATGATCACCAAGTTCTGGTCAACATGGGAGAGCATCACTTGGCAAATTCATGCCACAGCTCAAAGCTCTGTAAAGAACTTGGAAACTGTTCTCATCCTTCACATCCTCCGGTAAAAATACCGTATTTTTTTAGACCATGAGATGCACTTAGGTTTTAGAGGAGGAAAACAGGAAAAAATTTTTGAAGCAAAAAAATGTGGTAAAATATTTAATAACAAATAACATAATATTTCATCAATGTAACATAAACAGAACTCAATAGCAGCATTAACAACCACTATTCCTTTCAAATTTGGAGGTGGGTGCGGGGAGACAAAAAGTGCATCTTATAGTCTGAAAAATACAGTATACCTTTCCTACCTAAAAAATGACAGCTTTTTTTTACACGAAGTCTTCTCAATGCCCAGCAACATGTCACAGGAACAAACATTTAACAGAATCTGTGAAAACTTCCAGAAATTTATTTAATTATAAGCTTGCTCAAGAGTTTGATCATTGGGTAAATTAAGGGTGTGTGAGAGAAGAATGAGATTTTTAATTTACTTGTGCTGATAGTCTCTTTGAATATAGTTATAAATAGGTAACTAAAACATGTGGATTTTTATTAATAACTAATAAGGTCTGTGAGAATGAGCAGTGTGACCCCAAGTCTAGCCAATCGATGTCTATTATGTGCACATGTCAGCAACTAAAACTCTATTTTTGGGCTTTACAGGTAAATAGAAGAGGGTTCTCAACTCAGTACCTCAGGTTACAATGGGGCCGTGAGGAAGGATGGTGGTGGAGAGAAGGCTGCTTTGCAGATTTTCAGCTGAGGAAGCAGAGGGAACCACACTGATGCTGTCCGGGCACCGCTCAGCGGTAGGTGAAGCCTCTGGGCTGCCTTCTGACTTGGGAGTTCTGAGTTGCAGTAGCTGCTCAGCTATTTTTGCTGCCTGCTCTGGCATCGGGCCATTTTCACCTAGGAACTTAGGGCAGCCGAGGGGAATTTCATGATATGGTTGAGGTCGAACTTGTTATATTAGCTTAGTTCTGGCTACCTTGTTCCACATTACTAGGAATTATTTTATAAATACAATCAGGAGGGAGAATTTCTCAAAAATTTTGTCCAGGTCTCTTTGTGGAACCCATATAGAATATGATTTCCTTTGGATCCTTAGCCTACATTAAAGAGGGCAGTTCTGAATTTTGACTTCTCTTACCACCTGTAATTTCCGAATGTCTTTCACTTTACATAATTTTTGCTTTTCTAAACCCAACCCTCTTCATTTGTAGAGGCATCTGTTGTTTGCTGTACTAGGTTAGTGCACGACTTCCCACCTTCCTCTGAAAAGTTCTCTCTCTTAGGATTTAAACAGTGAGCTCCCATCTTTTATGTATTTATTTTTTAATTTTATTTAATTATTTTTCAAGTACAGTTTTCTGTCTATTTCTCCCATCCCAGCCCATCCCACCCCGTGCTCCCCACCTCCCTCCCATTTCCTCCCCCCCTAGTCCTCATCCCTGTGTCCTTCATACTTGTTCCTCCAAATCCCTCCCCTTTTCCCCCCTTAAATTCCCTTCCCTCTCCCCTCTGGTCACTGTCCCCTTGTTCTCTATTTCAGTGTCTTTATTCTGTTTGCTTGTTTATTTTGTTGTTTAGCTTCCTGTTAAAGGTGAGATCATATGGTATTTGTCTTTCAACACCTGGCCTATTTCTCTCAGCATAATGCTTTCCGGTCCCATCTTTTAAAAGAGCTCATGCTCTCGAGCTGTTTATGGGTCCAAGGGTGGGTGCTGGCCTAGGACCGGCCAATTCGAATCCTTCTCCACACCTTCAGTAGGAACCATAAACAGCTTTAGGTATTCTTGGATGGCAAAGCTGGGCGATGTGTCTGAGACTTGTGACAGCAATGTTTGCTGCCACGATTCAGCCATTTTTTTAACCTGCCTAACTCTGTTAAACTTTTGGAGCGAGCCATTTCACAGAAGGAAACTAACACTTGAAGAGAAAAATGTAACACGTGCACACACACTCTCTCACGGGCCTACACCGAGCTCAGTTTCAGGGTTTGCTTCTCTGACTTTCTTGCTATCATATAAAAACTTTCTACTAATATTGCATAAGGTAGTTCAAGGTGAACTTCTGGTGCTTAGATCTGAAAGTGACGATGAATAATATTAAATCTTCCAAGTAAAGGGCATAGATTCTTCAGTCGTTTTGCTTAAGATCTGATCCTGTCTTTCTTGACTAACTCTGACTTTGGACAAGTTACTAGTTTAATTTCTCTAAGCCTTTGTATATTTATTTGTGAATGGGAATGATGTCAGTCCCTACTTCACAGAATAGTGATGAGCATCAAGTGATATGACATTGTTTCAGTTATTCATTGATACATAACAAACCACCCCAAAACTAGGTGGATTAAAGCAATAGCAAACATATTTATTTGCTCATAGTTCTGCAATTTGGGCATTGGCACGATTAATCTCTGCTCCATGGGACTGAAAGATTCAAGAATGCTGTAGTCACAGGTTGGGTGCCTCAGAGGGTAGCTACAAAGACTGGCCACTGGCAGGTTCTCTTCTTCTCTCCTTTCATTGTCTTTCAGGCTGCAGACCCGTTCTCTTTCTCCGTGAACTTTCTGACCTTTATTTGATAGCCAGCTTCAAAAAGTATAAAAGCAGAAGGTACAAGTAATTTCCTACTACTGCTATAACAAATTATCATAAAGAAAATTATTATCTTTTAGTTCTGGAGGCCAGAAGTCTGAAATAGGTCTTAGAGGTCTAAAATCAATATCTTGGGCACATATAATCTCAGCCGCTGTGTGCAGTAAGTACTATAATCCCTCATCCATTTTCCAGATGAGGAAACTGAGTCTCACAGTGAAGTTGTGGAAATGTGGTTTGCACATTGGCTTGTTAGGATTTAATGCCCTTGCTTTTAATCAATGAGCTATCCTGGATTAGATGCCGGGTCTGAGACCTTAGTCAAGAAAAACTAACACTGAGAGCTTAGCAAGAACCAGGACTTTTCTAAGCACTTTACTTATATTACTTTATTTAATCCTTATGCCATCCTTATGATGAAGGTGCTATCTTATTCCTGAAGAAGCTGAGGCATAAGAAGGTTAGTAACCTCACCAAGATCACATAGCCAGCAAGGAGCAGAACTAGAATGACTCCCTACTTAGTGGTCCAGCCTTAAGGAGGGTTTATGGGTAAAGCGAGGATAATACCTGCTTTCTCTGGTATTCGCTCTGACTGAGTTATTGTGAGCATCAAATAGAATGTGTTGAAAACAACTAACAGAGGAAGGGCACTGTTGCTCGCCTTTTCAGATCAAGACTGGGTCCACAGAGGTTAAATCGACACTATAGCAACCACCTTCAGGGGCAGAATTAAATCCTTCTGAGCCCTGGTCACACACACTGAACCTGAAACCCTAACTCCACTTGCATCTCCAACACACACTTGTTTCTGTTTTTGCCCCTCTCCTGCCTTTTTCCAGGCTTGTCTCACAGGTGAAGACAAGGCTGAAATTTTCATAAGTTTAAACCACATTTTCTCCCTGGAAGTTCTGTGTATTCTTATAAATATGTAAACAGAACCCAATCTGTATGGGACTAGATCCCAAGAGCTACTGATAGCCCTCCATCCTCAGGGTCACACTGTGGCTCCCCTGTCAGCCCCACCCCTGCTTCACACCAGCATCTATCACGACACAGTCGTTCCCGTGGGTTCCTGGGGCAAAATACATTTGCCACTTCCTACCTCCAAGGGCTCACCCCTTTACTGAAGTCACAAGGGCTGCCCACTGAGTGGTCCTCTGCAGAGCTATCTCCCATCTGCCATTCGAGCTCAGGAAGATGTGACGTGGGTTTGTATGACATCCTTATCATAGATGCCATCAGATATTCAAGTGCACGTGCCCCCTGATCTTGTGGTTATGAAACTTATTAGGCATTATTAACCTTAAAAAGTCAGTTCTTTTCTTTCAGAAATAAGCATTCCAAAAGGTCAACTTGGTTTTTAATTAAGAGTGAATCTTTTTTTGCAGGTTAAATTGTGAGCCCAAATGCCTTGGTTGAAGGGATCCCGCTGCAGTGAGTTCTGCAGTAATTAGCGCAGGAAGAAGGCTCAGTAGGGTTGGAAGTTTCTTCCGCTTTAATGAGAGGAAAATTCCTGCCTGCGAATGACACCGCAGCTTCTGCCGCGGAGGGGTGCTGGAGAGCGCGTGTGCTCTCTGTCTCGCTCACTCTGTCCCTCTCTTTTTTCTCTTTCCTTTTGCTTTCCTTTCTTTGGTGGCTCTCTTCTCCTCTTCTTACTGGGGGAAGAAGATGGGAAACCTTTCTCCTCTGTGTCCTGTGGAGGGTGTCAGAGCTCATGTTCCTGGGGGAGGGCTGGGAGGCTTCATTGCTAATCCCAGCTCAACGTGTGGACCTACTTCTCCTGCCAGTTTCTAGGCGTCTGTTTCAATCCTCCTGATTAATCAAAGACCAAACCCTGACTCTTTCTTTTGTAGGAGAGAGAGAAAAGGGAAGAGAGGGAGAGAGTTTGGGAGAGAGAGAGAGTAAGCAGCCCTCAGGACCCCTACTGTGGTGGTCAAGGGGAAATTTGGGAACATTATTTTATGTTCATTGTTGCTGTGATATTGCATTTTTATTTACACTAATGAGGTCAAATTTCCTTTGTTAATAAATATATATGTGTAAAAAGAATAACTCAACTTAGAGAAAGGTTTTGAACTATCAGTTGTTCCGGCGGCAGTGCTGATAGTAGCAGGTAGTCTGTGGGGTTGACAAGAACTGAGCGGTGGTCACGTGGTCAAGGCAGTGGGCAACATGGAGGGAGGCAATGGCTGCTCTTGTGCCTGCAAAGATGAAATCTGCATTTTCTGGGGGCTGAGAGCCTTTCACAGGCAGAGGATGGTGATTACTCTATGGACCCTCCTCTCACAGACTTGTGTTTTGAAGGGCACAGGTGGCTCCATGTTTCTCCTTTGCTCCTTGATAATCATTGTCTTGGGCATTTGCTGGCGCTATTTGTGCGTGGGAGAAAGTGAGGGATGTTCCTGGGAAACTTCACTGCCAACTTCACGCCAATTCAGGCACAAACACCCCCTGCCTCAGGCGTCCACCCCAGTGTCTCAGGGGCTAGTTACTTCTCTGACTGAAGGGTAATCAGCAACTGTGCCTGATTCAGACACAAGTAAAAGGCACTAGGGAACTGGCCGCGGGTCCGACTTCTCCAGAGCCTCTTCTGCCCCCTCCACAGCTGGACGTGCTGCTCCAGAGGGTGGATGGTGCGCCAGAGACAGCTTTACCTTCCATTGCTTATTGGCATGTATCCTCCCAGAAAATGTGTGTGTGTATGCACATATATACACATAATATTTATACACGCTTTATCCAGAAAAATCCAGCTATTTTTAATATAAGAAGAACAGGTCATTCAACATTCCTCCATGGAAACTATTTGGATGATTCAGAAGGCTGCAGCTAAGGGCAACTGGTGATTGGCAGCTTCATCATAACAACACGCTCACTCATGTATCATGTTTCATGCAGTTTTTTGATGAAACATCCAATAACCCAGGTGACTCAACCTCCCTGCAGCCCAGATTTGGCACCCTGCAACTTTTGGCTTTTCCTCAAACTAAAATCACCTTTGAAAGGGAAGAGATTTCAGACTGTCAACAAGATTCAGGAAAATACAATGGGGAAGATGATGGAGATTGGGAGAACTGTGTGAGGTCCCAAGGTGCCTACTTTGAAGGGGACTGAGGCATCATTATCTTGTGTACAGTATTTCTTGTATCTAATATCTTCTTTAATAAATGCCTCTATTTTTCATATTACATGGCTGAATACTTTCTG